GGAAATGTGAAAACAGGTCCAAACCAAGGTCGGGTTGCGACCAGAGTCGCGGAACGAATTAAGTTCGTGAACCGAGGTACCACTGTACATCCAAAAAACAAGAGTCAGGGAAGATGATAGAAAGTTTGAATTGAACCAAAGATAACACTCTATTAAAAATTTCTAAGGCCTCATATTCATACCAGACCTGTCAGTAAAATATGAATCATGTAATTGGACTGGATAACATTGAGTACAATGCAGCTGGTATGTAATTGTACCTGTAACCAAGGATGACTAAGTGATTTGTCAACACTGTAACGTTTTCTCATCTTCACTTGAAGCAAATTATTTATTAAATCAGTAGCTGGGGAAAGAAGCAAATGAAAAATCCATCAAGGTAAATATTTCATTCCTTTCCATCGTTCCCTCTCTCCATTTCCCACTCTCACCCCCAAACACATATTCTGGAGGAAGAGATAAAGCTTTGGGAGAGTGATATGAAAAAAAAATAATAAACCCAAAAAAATAGACAACCATAAAGCAGGTCATCTACCTCTAAGTAAACACCAAGACTCTTTAATTTGAAATCAAGTTAGACTGTTCCTTAAAGTAGAAATCCTCTAATTACTTATCTGATATTTTATCTATTTCCTAACTTTCAATGCAGGCATTCAGTACAAGCTTTAATAGTGTTCAGCACTCCCTTCAAGTTCCTAATCTCTCATTAAAGTTTTTGAAAAAGTATGTAGTTGGCCTAAAGAAGAAGAACCAAGAAGCCAATTCATACATAACATCAGAATTAAATGTTCCTAACAGCAGTACAACATACTCAAAACAGGCAAATACCTTGTAAATCTACAACAAGAAAGGTTTTTTGAAAAATATATGTTCAAGATTAGTATTTTAGGCTAATATACTGTATCTACTTAAAGACACTGTAATTAAGAGGCATTCTTTCACAGGGAGCTAACTATGGAGCTTCATCTTTTCTGTATGGCACTGGGAAAGCCCAGAATATGCTGCCTCACGATAGAAAAGCTTCAGGAGTTTTAGGAAGTTCAGGAATAATCCTCCTATCAACTACAACCAGGCTCTAACTCACTAAGTGGGCAGCTTGCAATTTTTAAGTAAAAGCCTTTCTTCCATTCACTCAGTTACAGGAAAATAATTCCCAATGGTTCCTGATTAACAGTCACTGTCTCACCTAATTTACTGTCAGATCATTGCCACATTTCTATTAAATGCTATGGATTTCACTGAGAATATGAAATATAAGTTTTCTAATGATATTTACCTTCACTAGATATTTCCTTCCAGGGATTTGGTGGATACATAAATGCTGCATTTTGGATCTGATCATTTATGTCTTCATCTTCATTAAATGGAAATGTGCCACTTAAGCTCACATAGATGATGACACCAACAGACCACATATCCAGCGATCTATTGTAGCCTTTACTCCTAAGTACTTCTGGGGCAAGATAAGCTGGAGTTCCTACTACAGACCTCCTGAAAGACTTCTCCCCAATAATGCGTGCAAAACCAAAATCACACAGCTTTACCTGTAAAACAAATCCTCTTTACTTAAATTATTATGCACTTAACTTAGAAACTAACTGTCAAGGCTGATTAAAAAGATTCAGATGGAGCATATAGAGTTGTGTGTCAAGACAGTGTTCTCTTGGAACATTTGCCCACCCCAAATTGGGACTATAAGATTCCCATTAGTCATTAATACCCACATGGAGAGAATGGACTAGTTCTGGCATAACACTAAACTTTAAATTTAACATTAAGAATTTAATTCCAGTGGCTCACTCACTCCCTGCCTCCCTAGCCTCTGGCTGAACCTTATATCATCCAAACATAAAATATGGTCAATATAGCTAGCAGAAATAAGGCAATATGGGCAGTTAATTTATTTTCATTAGTTATACTTAATTAAGGCTTCTAATTTCTTTGCAATTCTATTGGAGATGAGAACATCAGCCCAGGAGAGAGACTCTCTCAAGACTATAAAGTAATTTAACTTTTTTTCCAAATGCAAACATAGGTAAATTATAGAAAAAATATTCTAGTTGTAAACTTAATAATTCCATCAACTGCTAAAAATACTGGAAAGTTCAAAATGACAAAATCAAAAATATCAGAATAAAAGGTTAAATCTTATTCTAGATTTCCTCTTCTACAATATACAGCTGTTACAAAGAGTACTTGCTTCCCTACCCACCTGAGGAAATGGTTCTGCTGATGCTAATAGTACATTTTCAGGCTTTAAATCACAGTGCACTATATTCTTGAAGTGTAAGTTCCTCAAAGCAACAAGTATCTTTAAAAAAGAGGGCAAAAAGTATTTTCAGAATCAGGTCTGTACCAAGAATCCAAAAGATATTAAAAATCTAATTCCAATTTTTGTCTAAAAACAAATGCACTCTTCTGTTGAAATGTTTCCAGAATTCCACTCTTCTTCAATTTAAAAAAACAAAATGGGGTATTGAGGGGATGGGCATTAGCCCAGCTTCCCAAAGAGACAGCATCCATATTCAGCTAGTTACATTTGGAAAGTACTTCTTCATAGTGGTATGAAATCTCAGTCTCTTACCATTCCTATTAAATATACAAGGAATGCAATATTAAGCTATTGATCTTCACACCCCCATTTATGGTTATCTCCTACATACTATATTTTTTCTTAGAAATAAAAGCAACATATTGTTTCACACATATCTGTCTGAAACAGCCTACGTGCATTTAATATGCAGCAAATGCTGTATAAAATAATGACATACTTTTTAAATCAGGAACAAAGTTTGCTAAGTATGAGATTGTCTCTTTATAGTAATTTAGGTAATTTTTTCCTCATATACAGCAAAGCTATTGCCATATTTACATACAGCCTTTTGAATAAAAGCCCTCTTGATGCAATTTAAAAGATAAACATTTTTAGCATAAAGCATATAAAGTGACTAAACAAGCAACACAAATGTTGAAAACAGCAGTAAGATTGTAAACTAAAACTTGGCATCATTTCTTAAAACCAGACTGGAATAATCATTTCTTTGAGGCCACTCATACAGAGAGTATATACTCCTGTCAGATTTGGGCTTTCTTCAAAGACAGGCCACCACAGGGAAGGCTCTCTCACTTGGGAAGAAAACATACAGTTGAAAACAAAAGACCCACCTGAGTAACCATGAACTTGGTGATCCTTTCTGGAAGCCGACTTTTCTCACTGGAAAGAATCATTTCCAACATATCGCCATGAAGTTTTTCCATCACAACAAAAACCCTTTCAGGAGTTTCAAACATACATTCCAGGTTTACAATCCCAGGGTGGTGCAAATTCTAAGGAAATATACAATACTGACTTGGACAAAGTTTCAAATGCATAAATACTCAGAAAACATTCATTACTGATGGCATTCATACAAAAGAAGACCATTCTATGCTTTACTATTTTAAAAGCACTCAGGCAATCCTTTGTAATACTTAAGAAATGGTCCCTTTGTTTAGCAGGTCAAAAGGTAATCTAACAGGAATATTACATAAACTGATACACCCAAAAAGAACCACCAATAAACTGTACCTCAGCGTAGATGTGTTTGATTACACACTCACAATTTTTAATAAAAAAACTTCTGTGATGCAGTTTTACAACATCTTTTTTATACCTGCAAAATGGCCACTTCGTTGCGGAGCTGGCTTTCCTGTTTTGTAGGGAATCGCATTTTATCAATGACTTTAATTGCCACATCCCTTCCAGTCTTCCTATGTTTACCTGCACAAATACAAAGAGAAAAGAAAAAGGGGAAGGCTCTCAGGTAGCCTTGCACAGTGGCAGTATTGATGATAACATGTATTTAAAGCTTAACAAAAATAACTAACCATGTACAGATGGTCTCTACATATGTTAAGGATAAAAAAAATTCCCCTCTCACCCCTATGGGTGGTACGTGTCTTCCTCAATCTCGGGTCCTCTACCAGAG